GCCTGTGAGTTGGTACATTGTCCTGCCGCAGCACGGGGCCAGAGGAATGATCTTCAACATAAAAGAGATTGGTGACGGCTTGGTGTGGCAAGAAAACGGCATCATTATGTAAGAAATCAGTCACGTCAGTCATGGCATGGACCATGACGCCGTTGTCCCACAGCTCCTAGTGGTCAGAGGCATGTACAATGGCGCCAGTTAATGGCGAGGTCCGTGCACAATGCAGGCAGAGATGCGCGTTATATGTATAACTACACTGAAGGGACGAAAGAATGTCTCTCATAGACAATCGTAGTATGATTCTCAAGGAACTGCCAGGCCCGACTGATCGGGACTGTCTATGTGGCTCGCTCCACTACTCTCCACATCCACGAAAGGCCAAAAGTATGGCCATGCACCTTTCCATGTTCTAGTGGAGGATTCAGTCCCACTTTGGCCCTAGAACAGACTCTCAGTTTGCCATGCTTGTGCCCGACAGGTCGGGAGTTGTGTAAGCCCAAGCAGGGCACAGAGTCATTGCCAGTAACAGACTGGCTGGGAGACTGAATGGGTGCAGGGGGACTGACTTCACAGGGGTAACTAACTGGACTGGCTTGACAGACTGGGAGACTGACAAACATAGGCTTGTGGACATACAGAGACTGACTTTACAGTCTGGCAGATGCACATACTGAATAGCCTTGTGACTGGAGAAAGGGGAATCGGAAAATGGCTGATCATACAGGGGACTGACTGACTTCACCTTCACATACAGACTGGGAACTGAGTGGACATACAGAGACTGACTTCACGGACTGGCAGATGCACAGGCTGACAGATAGTCAAACTGACAGGCAAACAGAGGCAGGAAGGGGTAACTGGTAAACTGACCGAACAAAAAGGGACGGACTTGACGGAATGAAAGACTGATTAACCTCATCATGTAATTAGTGACACACTGGAATGGATTAACGAGATTTTTTCCTATGGTACCTATCTACCATCTCGCAAAACTTTACAGCCAAGTGAACAAGCTTGGAAGAACCGAAAGACTAACGAACCATCAGATACAAGCAGGCTGATAGACAGAAACAGAACTGACTACGAAACTGATAAAAGGGGCCGACTTTATAATAGTTTATATGTCTTTAGGTGTCTATATGGTATTATAACATCAGGTTGGTCTAGTAATTCCAAATATGCTTTTCTAGGAGAACTATGATCTGCTGCTCAAATAGTTTCTTATGAAGTTTCTATTGGTCTTATTATTATAATTACTGTATTAATTTGCGTAATCGCCATAACAGAAAAACAGATATGGTTTGGTATTCCCTTTTTTCCTTTATTGATTCTGTTTTTTATTTCTTGTTTAG